GAACTAGCCTATTCAGCAAATATGAGAAAACTTATGAGTTTTCTTGTGAAAACGATAAATTGTTCTCTGGCAAAAGCAACTGATTCCTAAATGAAATCAAGAAATAATCAAACTTCAAACTTAGTTTTAATCTTTTTTAATAGCTTTTTTGTTGTTCCAGAGCCGAGTTTAATTTAAAAAGTTGTCAGGAAATATGAAAAATCGACTGATAGTAAAATATTCGCTCGGTAAAAGCGAAGTTACAACAGCTGTTGAAAACTGGACTGGTGAAAGAACTCTGCTCGTTACTTCATCAAGACGAGAGCCTTCCGAATGGCGGGTTAAGTCGTCTGTTTTTTTATGTGCTCTCGCGACATTGTTCGAGGGTATCAACTCGTCAGCAACGCTCCATTTTTTCCAGACAAAGCTGACGAAAAAGGTACGCTTTATTAACCTGTTAAACTTTAATAAGCTTGATGTATGCCAAAATGGTGCCAAAGCTAGCCAGAAAAAAAGAAACGGAGCAAATCGAACCTAACCCATAAATCATACAATCATATGACCTGTTTGGTAAGAATAACGTTTTACATTGACTGCCGAGCAATTTAAAGTCCAACAATTGTTGAGACTTTGTGTTTTTTGAAAAAGTTGCCTAAAAAGAGCTGTTGTTTAAGAGGAATTGAATTACTCATTAATGACCAATGGGATATGCAAAATCAATTTAATGACTCTATTTATTGTTGTACAAATACAGATTTCCGTTCAATGTTATATCATCAAGTGGTAAAGTACTCAATCAACTGAGACACTTCGACAAAATGTTTTTAATTCTAGTTTTTGAACTTCAGAGATAAGATTTAAACTGCTCCAAAATCTTAAACTTTTGCAAACTTTTACACAACAGTTAGTTTTGATCATTGTTATCTTCACCAGTAAGTTTTGTGAAACAGTTTATCGAAAAATTTTTGTACTAAGAACAGATGATTAGGGAAAATTAATCAAAAACATCTTTTATGGTAGGAGAAATAACGTTAGTTTTCCCCAAAGGTCTGTTCTTTTTCACCAGTTTTTCTCCGGACTTTCAAACAATATTTTATCGTAACAACAAATGATTAACAACAATACAGATTTTATTTGAACTAATCAGTTTGGATTCACACTATGAAAACAGATTCGAGTAAAGATTAAGACAATGCATTGGAAGTCACCCAAAATGGCAGAACAGTAATATATTTAGTTCTAGAATTGTCGGTTAATGCAATCTCTATGACAATGTTGCTTTACTTTAGTTGAATTAAAGAAAACAAAAAAAAAATTAGCAGTAATTTGAGTTGCTCAAGACAAGCGTTATCAAATTGACTTAAATTTTGGATTCAAATCTGAAACAAGAATTTTCGTAAATCAAGGCAAAGCCCTGAATGTTCCGACTGTCCCTTAATTCATATCGATTAGTTTTTGGGAAAAGAAATTGTAGAAAACCTATACGTTTTGATAATATCAAAGTGTAAAATTTTGAGTCGTGTGAAATTGAAACAATCCAATAGCTGAGCCTCAATTCAATTTGGAACGATTTTGTTGTGAGGGATAGTTCGCCACGCATAAATAATTCACGTTACGCTCTCAGCATTATGAATTAACTCTTCAAAGCGCGCCATAACATGGCAAATTCGGCAATTTTCAAACCCCCAGAACTTTAAAAAAAATGAAGGTGAAATATTTTTTACATTTGAACTCAGAAAGTCGATATCTTCAATTTGTTGAAAATTATTTTTTCGATCGATGAAAAATAGACTGAATAAAAAACCACACCGAGCATAAATATTCCGTTTTCTTCGAAAGTCGGAACAAAAACTCAAACATTTCACACAATAACCGTTAGGAAGCACAGTGGACACTAAAGGAAATTTGATTCAATCACAGTGAATTGACTTCCATACTGCCCTATCAGCATTAAAATTGAATGTCCAAAAACACTAAATAAACTCAAAAAACTGCAAATCCTTTTAGTTGCTTTATAAGTTCATAAATTAAACAAAATTGTCTGAGGCTATGCAAAAAGCACACAATTTATGACAACAATCACAAGTATTTTTTTTTGAAAAACGAGTTAGCTAATTTTCAGTTTTTCTGATTTTGGATTATGCAAACTAATGCCACTCATAACTTAAATTAGGTCTCCTCTCAATCTCAAATTTCATCCAGTTTATTCAATTTCCTCCAAAAAATCATCGTTCTGATTCGCTTTTTCATGTTTCAGTTTTTGATATAGCAAATAATTGTTATCTATAAAAAAGATGACCAAATGTCATATAGAGGAAACAATTTCAGATTAATTTAAGTTTAAATGGATAAATTATTTTTAATGAAGACTGAAACACTCTATTCAGTGAACCAGATGCATGATATATAATATCCTCTGATACATAACTCATATTTTGAAATTCCTCTCAATCCAAAATTGAAATCTAAATTATACAGATTGCAACTGCTTGGATAAAATGAAAAAGAAGAGCCGCTTGTTGTGCAAGTAGCCCAGAAATGTTCCTTCATCACTAAACAAGATAGCACACTTTTTCCTTGAAAAATGTACCCATTGGTAGTCAAAATTATCTGGAAAAAAATTGGAAAAACAGACTTTACGCTCAGTTTCAATTTCATCCAATTTACTCGGTTTCCTCCACAAAAAATTGATTCGATTTTTCTAGAGTAGAGAAGCTATTCCAGTTTTTGACTTAGTAAAACTTGGAAAATATATATTTTTAAAATATTATGGTTGTAAGCAAAGAAAATCTAGCTTGTTTGAAACTTGAAGAAAAATTATTATATGTAATCTAAAAAAAATTTGTAAGGTTTACTGAAATGAAATTTACAAAAAAAAAGATTCTCAGATTTCTAAACCAAATTTTGGAACTCTCCTTCTTGTATAATTTCTGTTATGTCTTCTATGCGATATCCTTCTTAAACATAGAAAAACTTTATTGTTTTTTGATTGCAAATTAGATTCAAGGACAATTAAATTTGATGTGAGAAGAAAAAAAACTGCTTACTAAAAACTGAAAATGGATCAGTCAGTCAAATGGGTGTGGCCAATCAGGCGGTGGAGAATATTGTCAAATTTATTTTAATTTTTGAAGTTAATCGATGAAATCGACAATTTGGATGAAATAAACAATTAAAGTATTTGTAGTAATTGTAATGATTGAGATCACCAAAAGGGCAAATGCGAAAAGCGTTATTCAATTAGGCAGAATCGACAAATTGTCAAAAAATAAAACCAATAAAAATTAAGAGATAGATATGAACTAAACTTTCATCTCAACTAGACTTTTATTCAATAATTTTTTTTCGCTTGTTTTTATATATATATATAGATAGATAGATTTGGGGCACTTAGCATAGTGGTAAGACGTTCACTTTAGAATCGTCAGATCGTGTAATCGATCCCATGCCATGGCAATGATAGTGTGCGAGGACGAGCTCTCACTTGACCTCTAGCTTCAGGTCTACCACAACCTGACCAAATTTGGCTGCAAAAGTGCTACCACGTGAAAGTTCTAGACGCACAAAAACGGCCTTGAGTCGCAAAAAACAGCTTCGCTCAACAAAATAACACAGTCTGGAATGTGGGGAAATAATACAAACGGACTATCCTTGACAGGACTGTTAAGGCCTACTGATAGCTCCTCTGCGATTCGCAGGAACTACAATTATTATTATCAATTATATATATATATATATATATATATATATATATATATATATATATATATATATATATATAATAAAATCAAGTCTTATCCCAAATTTTTTCATCGAAATAACACGCAGATATTGTAGAGCAAAAACAGGCATTAATTTTTACAAACTCGAAACCTATTTTTTACAGAACCAGGGCAATATGTAACCGTAGTTTCTTTAACATGAAAAAGAAATTATATACCCAGGCGCTGATCTAGGAATTTTTCGAGGGAGGGGCGGACTTGCAAAAAAGTTTGCAAATTTTATCAATTTTTTTAAGGTTGACCAAATTGATTTTCTGAGCTCTGGCAAATCACTATAAAGACTCTAAATGGCCAAATTTTCTGCGCTTTGAGCAGTCTAAATTCCAACAATTGTTGAGACTATGTATTTTTCGAAATAGTTGTCTAAAAAACAGCTGTTGTTTAAAAGGAGTTGAATTACTCATTAATGACCAATGGGAATTACAAAATCAATTTAATGACTCTATTTATTGTAGTACAAATACAGATTTCCATTCAATGTTATATCATCAAGTGGTAAAATACTCAATCAACTGAGACACTTCGACAAAATGTTTTTAAATCTAGTTCTTGAACTTCAGAGATAAGATTTAAACTGCTCCAAAATCTTAAACTTTTGCAAACTTTTACACAACAGTTAGTTTTGATCAATGTTATCTTCACCAGTAAGTTTTGTGAAACAGTTTATCGAAAAATTTTTGTACTAAGAACAGATGACCAAGAAAAATTAATCAAAACAGCTTTTATGGTAGGAGAAATAACGTTAGTTTTCCCCAAAGGTCTGTTCTTTTTCACTAGTTTTTCTCCGGACTTTCAAACAATATTTTATCGTAACAACAAATGATTAACAACAATACAGATTTTATTTGAACTAATCAGTTTAGATTCACACTATGAAAACAGTTTCGAATAATAAAGATTATGATAAAGCATTGGAAGTCACCCAAAATGGCAGAACAGTAATATATTTAGTTCTAGAATTGTCGGTTAATGCAATCTCTATGACAATGTTGCTTTACTTTAGTTGAATTAAAGAAAACAAAAAAAAAATTAGCAGTAATTTGAGTTGCTCAAGACAAGCGTTATCAAATTGACTTAAATTTTGGATTCAAATCTGAAACAAGAATTTTCGTAAATCAAGGCAAAGCCCTGAATGTTCCGACTGTCCCTTAATTCATATCGATTAGTTTTTGGGAAAAGAAATTGTAGAAAACCTATACGTTTTTGATAATATCAAAGTGTAAAATTTTGAGTCGTGTGAAATTGAAACAATCCAATAGCTAGCCTCAATACAATTTGGAACGATTTTGTTGTGAGGGATAGTTCGCCACGCATAAATAATTCACGTTACGCTCTCAGCATTATGAATAAACTCTTCAAAACGCCCATAATTTAGTCCATAACATGGCAAATTCGGCAATTTTCAAACCCCCAGAATTATAAAAAAAAATTGAAGGTGAAATTTTTTTTTTACATTTGAACTCAGAAAGTCGATATCTTCAATGGCGTATGAAAAAATTTTTGTTGAAAATTAGTATTTCGATTGATGAAAATTAACTGAATAAAAAACCACACCGAGCATAAATTTTCCGTTTTCTTCGAAAGTCGGAACAAAAATACAAACATTCACACCATAACCGTTAGGAAGCACAGTGGACACTAAAGGAAATTTGATTCA